TTGAGAAAATGGAGTGAAGGTTCGGCACTGTTGCAAACCTACCAAGACATCGTTATCTATCTAAACCTACACACTGGGGAGGGTAAGATGATAAATCTGGAAGAGCTGTAGAGATCGAGGCTCCAGGTGGGAGTTAATTTCACATTTACATGTGCACGCCACAAACAGTCCATTATGTCAAGAAAAAGAAAGCTATCCCATTTAAAGTTTAACAACAAACATGTTGATCATGATCAGATGAGACCAAAGTAGAACTATTCAACCTACATGCAAAATGAAAAATAAAGCTGTGTAATATAGTGGTAGCAGATTTTCTTCTACTGGGCCTTAGAAGCTGATTAGACTTGACGGGAAGATGAATGCAGCTAAAGTTAAATTGATTCTGGAGGGATTCTTAGTTTTAGACTGAAAAAGGCAGGACAGCAACCCTACATACAGCAACTCCTGCTGCTGAATTGTTTAAATCAAAGCATATGCCTGCTTTCGAATGGCTCAGTCAAAGAGCTGACCTGTCCCGTCTGTAACGGGACATAAAAGGTGAAATGAAATGAAATGAAATGAAATGAAATGAAATTTTATTCGAACATGATACAAATACAAATATAAAATAGTGCACAGTAACAAGAAGTGCATAAGAAAGAAGAGAAAATACAGATTTTTTTGTTTCAGTTAACATATGCTCAAAATGGGGTAGGAAGAAGTGAGAACTTATAAACTCCTACCTCTAAACACTTGAGACTTTAGAGTCCTACTGTCATTAAAAAAATCAAAATCAAAGTGGCAGTCAGAAGTAACAGTTACTAATATTTACCTATACATTTTCCCATTTTATTCTGGTTTGTCTTTCTAAACCCTTACACCAAGTTATCTGCAATACACACCTTATTGCTTTCCATCACCCGTATGTGTATCTATTGAAAATTACCTCTTTGTACTTTCTTTTGAATTGTGTTAAACTATTGCTTTGATTCTCATTAATACCATCTGTTCAGTTTGAATGAGTTTAAGTGCTTGAATACAAGAGAGAATACTCAGCATCCAAAAACCTTCAATGGAAAATAGAACATTAAACAAAATCTGGATGTTAAGTGCTGCAGAATAAAATTCATAGAACCACTTTTATGTGAAGGACTTGTGGCATAAAGCACAGGAAGGTGTCTTTAAAGTCTAGTCTAACACATAATTTAGTAAAATCAGTGAAAATAACAGATTTTTCTTTTTAATGCTAAACTATCTGCAGGTTCTTTCTGCAGCCGGCAGGAGCCTCAGAGCAAAAACAGATGTTGGCTTACAAGGTTAGCTGAAAAGTCAGAGAGGCACAAAAGAACAACTTGAAGATTTTCTAGAAATCCTCCCTCTCTCTGTGACTGCATCACATGTGGAGTTATCAGTAATGGGTCTGACGTTGCGTCAAGTTACGGAAACGGATTTCTTTATATTCCTTTTTAAGGTACCTAAGAGAAAGTTGTCTTGTGTGGACATGTTTTCATCAAGGTTTGAGACTTTTCTCAAAAATGGAACAGCAGCTGAAATGAGAGCTGATTTTCTGTGAATTTGGCTGCATTTAAATAAAGGCTTTTTGCACAGAAAATAGGAGAAAATCATATGTAAATTAATTGTCAGGAAGGGAAAAACTCAAATGTTATTTTAAGGTGTAGCCATTATTCTAATTACCACATATTTTTTTGGAAGGCTTACCTTTTGAAAAAGTGATCAATTTACAGTAATTTATTTAGAAAAATAATTATAATCTGCATAACTCCTGAAACATCAGTTCTTCTTAATTGGTGCCAGTGAAAATGGAAAGGCGCTTTCGTAAAAGACTAACCAACAGATGAGCTTTTAAGAATTCTGCACCTAAACTTAAATTAGGAAAATGTTTGATAACTCAAAGTTGGCTCAATTGAGGAGAAAATCAATAAATACTCCTGTGCTTTTTAAGGAGCTCTTGAACGTGAAGGCTGTGATTCTTCTTGCACTCCTTTAAATTACCCGGCCACTTATTTCTCTTAACTCTTGCAAAATGACCACTGGGTTTTTATCTGCAGCTGTCTGTCGTATAACAGACTGTGCTTTAGCTGATGAGTGTGTTCCTTCTGCATGCGTGTGTTTAGGATGTCAGGAGGAAGCTCCTAATTGACTGGCTGTTAAAGCTTTTAATGAAGAGTGGGCAGCCCAAGCTCCAATTTGCCTTACAATGACCATCAGGGAATGAAAACAGGCTGGCAGTTGAGCAAGTAGGAACAGAAAGGAAAAGTAAAATTAGTCTTTGAGAGGAGAGGGAAGTAGCACGAGCTAGTTGGAGAGGTGGTGTTCTGAAATTGGGGCGAAAAGAAAATTATGTTTTCATAATTTCTTCAAACACTGAACATGAAACACCTCTGGCTGATATCGAAACTCTTCTACATGCTGGAATCATTGTAAAATGGCCTGGCTCTCCTAAAAGACAGTTTTTGAGTCTTGGCAATATTTAAAATATTACATTCATTATGTAGCAAGAACAACCCTGACTTATCACTGCAGACTTACAAAATAATTACAAACGAAAGTAAATGTAGTGCAAGGAACTGGAAGGTCACGGCCAAAGGTTTGACTCTGCTATGCTACAAAATACACAGATACACCAGACTGTGCTTGATTTCCCTGTCATGTCAGTGATCTTGTGCAGAATTACCAGCAATCCCAGTCCTTTGGATTAGAAGCAACACTTAACATGAATTGAATCGGGAAGCTTCAGCTGTGCTTCCATGAAGCTTGCGCCTCCTCCAGAAAAAAAACAAAACAGTATTTTCTAGATGTCTCAGATGATCCAACTCAGAATTTAACAGAAAAGGTAATTTCACTGCAGTATTTTACAGCATTTCAAACTGAGCCAGTTTGAAATTACTCATGAATTTCAAACTGAATTTCAAATATCAGATTGTTGAACTGACATTCAAAAGTCAGGGCGGTGTTCACTCTGCATTCATGGCCAGAAACATTACCTATCTCCCTCCTCAAGAAGAACAACTCCAGTGGCTTGCATGTCCTAAAATCTTCTTCACTGCAACCACTAACCTTAAACATCGTTTTAGCTGCAAAAATCTTTGGTGCACTTTTCTGCATTACAGTAGAATTTAATGTAAACTTATGACTGCACACTTTGGTTGCAGGTTTCTAAATCGTTCATGTAGTTTCTTTGCAAGGCACATTTCAACAACAAGGCAGTTAAAGTGCTTTACGTCATAAAAACCACAATAAGACAAGTAAAGTTATGTTGATGTAAAATTTGTTTTCTCTAGCTAAAGCCATAATTCTCGGAGATTCTGCTGCAACAAGGATCTTTTTGTTCGATCACTGAAGGCAAAGCTACAAACGATTCCACAGCATTAGACGAATCCCATGGGCACATTGAAGATATTAAGCTGTTGTTATAGAAAGTATTGGTTAACAGTGACAGAAAAACCGTTTTCTTCTCCAAGACCATAAACTGGTCAGCAAGGCCAACATGAAATCGCCAGTAACCTGATATTGTAACCGTTGTGATGTTTCAACTGTCTTCATATTTTAACAAAATATACGGATTTTGATAATGTCCTATAATATTTTCTCCTGGTCTCCTCGGATCAGAGGAGGCTATAAGAACTCGTTTAGTCATCAAAAGGTTGCGTAAAAATCTATCCCTGTTAATCTGTTCTTTTTGCTGCCAATTATGCAGACTGACAAGATAATAAAAAATCATTAACAAAAATTATGAAATGATGGCGGAGTGTTAAATATTAATTGAAAGACAACTAATTAGGAAGATCCTCGTGTAATTCAAAATCTTAAAAACCACAGTGGAATAAGAGCCAATTAAAAAAAATTCACCTCATAGGACCCGTCATTGAATCAGCCGAGTTTCTCCCGATATAGCTGAATAATTGGCATTTTATTTCCCTTTTCTGAATTTTGACACAAACTCGGTGTCTTTCTTCCTCCCAGCTTTTTTTATTTCTTCAGATCTTACGACGGTGCGTCAGCTGTGCATCGTCTGCAGTACATTTATCATTTCCCAGTTGATGGGGTGTGATGTGATGTGATTGCGATGTCGCTCAACGTACCCCTAGGCATTCAACCATTGGTTGTTGAATTTATTTTTTTCTGCCCTCTTTAGTGTCTAAACAACTTGCAGTGTCTTGTGTGTCACTTTGTCGCATTTAACAGTTTCTACTTGACACCCATACTGCTAACAAACAAATAATTTAAGTATTTGAGGATTTGAGATTGCATAAATATTAGCTCTTTATAGGTCATAATGTTGCAGTAAGCAGGGAATCTAGGCAAAACCATTATAATTCATTTTGCCTTTCCACACGATGCAAGTCCAACGTCAAAATAACGTTGGACTTGCATCCAGCGTTAATGGGAAAGCTATAGCAGAATCATAGGAAGAGTTTTTGTAGCATTCACCTGATGCTACAAATGCTGAATGTTGGCTTCACTCTGTTTCATCATTCAGTGAAATTATTCTTTGTGACATATTTGGTTAGGGGTTTGTGAATACCTACTGAGGCGGGTTAGGCTGGTTCCGATGACTTAAACCAGCCTTTTTGTGTCTGGACCTTTGAGTTGATCATGAGTCGTCACAAAAGGATGATCTGAAGGAAGGCATTCTCATCATCACACCTCAGAGAAACAACAGTTGCAATAGCTGGCCAGAACATGAAATGAGTTTATTTAAACTTCTGACCTCAACTGTATCACTATTCCCAGCACCTTCACTGTATCATTTAAATCGTTTATCTCGTAGGATGTTATGGCTAAAGAAAGAGTCTAAATTAACATATTGATGGATTAGATGTTTATTCACTGGAGGAGAGGACATTAATATTGCAGCAGCAAGTGACTGCATTTATTTGAATAAATCTAACCCAGCAACATTAGATCTGATCACAAACCAGAACCATGTTTTGTGAGTTAATGTGTTTTGCATTCCAATGGATTTTGATGGGTTTTCGTGTGTCTTGTGTTTGTTGTAGGAGCTGTAGAGGTGAGAAAAGAAGGTCTGGAGGCTCAGATCAATCGCCTGGCGGAGCTGATTGGACGTCTCGAGAATAAGGTAACAAATACAACTGTTACAAATTGGTTTGTCTTCTAGGATTGATAGCAACAATTTGTATTGATGGCCTGGATGAATTTGCAGAACCCCACCCACCCCACTCCTAAATTGATAAAGCATTATTTATTCTAAAATGTATTTGTAAACTCAAGGCTCTAATGATTTTTTTTATTTTTATTTTTTGCTTCAAATAAAACTCAGTTTTAAAAAGGACACTTATTCATTCTAAGGAATATGTTGAACTTTGGGCTCAGATTAATCACACAGATCAAACTAAAGTCTTTTGGATTTGCAGTCATGGCTGTTATGTTCTGCTGATCTTGGTGCAGCACCAGATGCACTACGCATTGAGAGCTACGAATTATTTTATGGGGTTTCAAGACTCACCAAATCTACCAAATTTATGTGAAGTCATGTAGATATTTCAAGTGTTGATTCGTCTTTTGTTTAATTTGTGACACTGAGTAATCATCTTCCAGACCAAATCCAGACTGAAGATGAACCAATTTTGTGTTTGTTGATTTGTTTCTTTATCTGTTTTTTCAATAAAAGTTTTTTTTTGTTGTTGTTTTCTCAGAGATCTGGAGAGTTTCGTGACCACAGATTTGAATCTGTGGTCACGAAGCTCTCCAGATCTCTTCACTAGAAGTTTGAACTTCTAGTGAAATTATAATTGAGCCAAGTTATTATGTTTCACTTTTGACATTATAATGGAAAATACACAGATCGTCACCGAACTGTTGGAAGAACCTGTTCTGTTGGGTTGTTTGTGTTCTTTAGCAGAACTGGAAGAAACCACAGCCTAGATGGTTGTAGCCAAAAACATTTCCTCTGCAGCTGGTTGGACTCCTCCTAGCTTTTTGCTCCCTAGACAAAGTATTTTCTATATGACCAAAACTATAGAAAAATAAGTTTCTGTAGCTTAATATGCAAAAAAATATTGTTTTGCTTTTTTATCTTGTTCAAATATCTCAACTTACTGGTAACTGGGAAGAAATTGGCTTCATCCATCCCTCCAATTTTCCCTTGATGAAGGCCAGTGTCTCACTGAATGCACCACTTCAGCATGTCGACCCTGTTGTTCTCTACAGGGCTCTTAACTGGACCATTGTCAGACAAGACCTCAGCAAACATGAGGGTTTTTTTTAAATACTCTGCCTCGACCAGAGAGCTTTTTAGTTTGTCCTTGATGACTTTCTTGGGCAGAACTGAAGTGGCTTCTTTGCTGTGCCTGTCGTCCAAAGGTTTTCGTCTCTGTGGGACTTCAGATGCACTTAGGCTCACTTAAGCTTTGACTTTGTTGCAATGCGATTTTGTGTATTTATCAGGAGGAGAATGAGGAATCCATAGCCGTATTTCTGGAGCTTGCTGGACCGTTGTTGATATCCAGAAACGTCTTCTCCAGCAGAGTCTTTAACTACATGGTTCTTTATGATGCAGCTGTTTTTCAGTTGCAATCTATTTAGCTGCAGCTTGCTGCATGCCAGGTCATTTTGTGATAAATGCTGAATGCTTTTCTTTGGAGGTGCTGATTGCAAACACAAGAACACAGAGCTTTTAAGTGCATTACTTTAATAGCGTTCTAATTTAGTCTGGTATAATTTGACTGATATGACTTTTTAGAACAGAACTTTCACAGCTTAACCTGCAAATATAGACATGTTTTTAGCTTTAAACTAAGCTTAAATAAAAGGCTCTTTTCAATGAATTAATGTCCTTCTAATCAATTCACAAAGTTGGCAAAACAACGTATCAGCAAAAGAAGTTTTGGCCATGACTATACAGTTGTGGCAATAAAACATTATCCATTTGTCAAGTTGAACTTATTTGTGTGCATAAAACATTACTCATGCCCATATGGCAATCTGGCCTCCAGCCTTTGCCTTGAGCTGCAAAGATTTAGAAGCATTTCTGCTGACCGTGTGAATGTTTGTCATTTTGCTACGATTATGAGAGACTGGGTATCATACTAATGATCTCCAATAATAAATTCAGGAATGTGCATACATTAAAAGTGGCTACAGACCACATGAAGCAGTAGCTTCATGGGCTTAAATCTATTTATTGTTATGCATGTTTATTTCGCGTTTCAGGCATGTTTGTGCAGTACCGACACTTCAAGCTGACAGAGGATGCATTAGAAACGAGGCCCTTTCTTGTTTGAATGGTGCCTTGTATGAGCCCCTCCTTCTGCAATCAAAAATGCAGAAAATCATATAGATTATGAAGCAGGCTAAAATGCAGTGCAGTCCTATACAAATCATGTCTCAGAAAACATTTTTCAGGCTCAATAGACAGATATTTATAAGAGCAACTACCCACATGACTCATTTCAAAAACTGCGACTGATTAAAACTGTAACCAAATGCTTTAAAGAATATGTGGCGACTGCAAGTAACACTACAAGCTGGATAAATAGCTTTACATGAGGCTCATCAGACATATGATCTAACTCCAGTATTTTAGCTTTAATTTTGTAAAGATGTTATTTTTCAACAGATAATTAACAACTACAATTATTAAGATGACTGACACCTGTTCTATGTGGTAAAACTCATATTTTCACAACTGTGTTTTAATGTTTCAGTTTTATACATTTTTACCTAAAGGATTTGTTGCAATATGCATGTTTTTTTTTCTTCGCATAATATGAAATAGCTGTGTCCAATGCAGCAATTTTCTCTTTTGCTTTGATGTTCTGTTTGATATGTTACTGTTAAAGGCCTTATTTTGTAGTAAATACAGTATCTTTACTTATTCATCTTAGAGTTGCCGTGTGATGTCGATGGAGACTAGATGCTGTGATGAAGCTAAACATAAAGAAATATTTCACTAATAAAGAAAAGACAATAGCTGGGTGAACAATAGGTACAAAAAGTCCCTATTGTTCACTCAGCAGGCTCAAGATCATCAAATCCCAGGGCAGATGTGTTTGCATTATGAAAGACGACTATGTCATCAGCATAAAGATGAAGAGATGCATTAGTGACATCCTTATCTACATTATAAAGTAGCTCTCCACAATATTAACAAAACACGACACGTCATTGCTGTTGCTGAACATTGTGGTGCCTGTCTTGGTTGCAGTAGGATGCAGTGGACACCACACATCAGCGCAAACCTTTTGTTCCAATGAAATGCAGAACTTCAGAGCGAGGCAGTGCTGCTTTGAGCTGAATGATGCTCAGAGCACCATGCGTCTTACCTAAGTTTAAATAACCGTAATTTGGGCACGGCTATCAAAAATCAAATCAAAGTGAATCTGATTCAAGGTGAAGCTGTACGGAAAGCTTCACCTCTATAATGTCTTTGTAATAGTGCCTTACAACAAAACAATTGAAATCATGCAGAACACAAATTCACTGGACAGTCAAGTGGACAAATTGATTCTCTTTCATCATTTGATAGCATCTTACTTGCAGAAGCGACTTCTATTTTCTGGATCAATCTATCATTCCATATTAGATGAGTTCAGAAAGTGAATCACTTTAAGAAACTTTAAAGACCCATTTTTATCAAGTCAGTCTGTTGAGTTCCTTTGTTTTCAATGTTCATTTTTTTGCACACATTTGTAATTACATCTTGTGTGCTTGTTAAGCACTTTAGTCCAGCTCCACTGTAACATTAATAGTTCAGTCCATCCAATGACATTGTTTCATGAGCTGTAAGATTAATTGTTTACATCCATATTTCACTTCTAGAGGGGTTTGTGTGTAGCCATAACATTTCTGCTGCTCATTCAGAGTAAATTAAGTAAATTTGGTTAATTGTTATTTCAGCTCTAATGAGACTAAATTGTAATGTTGCATATTTCTTTTAAACACTGCAACGCCTTATTAAACTCATGTGCTTGCCAAGCTTCTGCACTTTGAGTTTTATTTGCACAAAAATTATGAAAGCAAAATTGGAGCACCCTGGCCGCATGCAGAAGAAAGCAGATCAGGATGAGAAGAGAGAAGGTGTGGAGATGGTTAATGAGTGGGTGAATAAATTATGATTATTTTTTTTTGTATTAAGAGGGAAAGATGAGGGGAGGAGGAGTTCCAAAAAAAGAAATGTACTTAACTATTTCCCTTTCGTCTTTTTCCTGAGACACGTCCACAATTCAGGACACCAACTCATCTTCATCATTGTCCACCCTTACATCCTTCATCCCCTTCTCTTTTTTTCAGTACTGAGCCTTTTAAGCCTAATGGATCCTCAGCGCACTCGGCTCGCTTCGCAAAAGGAAGCAGCTATGACAGAAAGAGCAAAGAATAACAAAACACATTATGCTGCCCAGGGGGAGCATGGGGATGAAGATCTGGAAGAGGAAGAGAACATGTTTCCTCACTCCCTTGTTAGAATAAGCCTTCAGCCTTAAGCCCAACTGTGATTTCGTACAACAAATGACTCGGGTTTAAATAAAACAATTTCCCGCAGTCCAGTGACCTCAATTTTGGCAGCAGGGATTGAAACACCTTTAAAGAGATGTTCTTTAATCACTTGTGGCCCCCAAGGCTCCAGAGAGCCCATTACTCCTACCTGGTTGTGTCTGAAGTGACTGTGGCTTGAAGAAAAAAATATTTTTACAGTTGATTAAACTCAGTTAGGGTCTGTTTTTATTTTTATTTTTTTAACACACATACAGCAAAATAAACTATTTTATTTGTGTTTGTGCTCTACTCTCAAAATGAAGTAAACACATTAGTGAGGATTAAATTCAAACACTTGCTTCAAAATTGATCAACTAGCACAATTCATAGTAACTGATAACTAAGTCACATAAAATTAATTAAAATTATAATGGAAATGTCATTAAAGGAGAAACGCTGACTCGGTTCCAATGTCGACGGCAGTATAAATTGTACAGGCATATCAGTCTTTCACCAAACCTTCATTGTTTGACATTGTGCTTTTACAATAATAAGAGATCCGAGACAAAACACACATCTGTTGGATTATATTTACAGAGAGAAAAGTGCTGCAGAAAGGATGTGAGAGTAAAGTAAGGTTTCACAAAGGCATCATAAAAGTGTCTTTGTCCTGCTGCTCATGCAACTGCTTCCAGCTCGGATCTTCGTATTGACACTGTGCAGGTGTCTGGAAGAGGAAATGATAATATCACACTGTGTCAGAGAGAATCACGAATTGTTTACCGAATGAATAATCACCCAGCCACACACTGAGTGACGTTATATCTGGCAGGATGAAAATAGTGCCCTGCATTGGCACCGCTGCTCTGATAACACGCTGGAAATCCGGTTACCTGCTAAAAAGGTAAATTCATGCTGCCTCTGTTGCTGGGTGTCGCTCTCAGATTCTCCAGCTGTCTTCCGTGTTCTCAGTTTGCAAACTATTATTATTTATTGCTCTCCGGGTGGTGCAAACAGGAAAATGTTTGTTTTTTTGGGGGGTTTTTGTAGCAGCACCAGAGCCTTGGTTTTACAGGGGTTTAGTGAAGCATGTATGAAAGGATACAATAGGCTGAACACTGAGAAGCAATTTATTTCCAACAAAAGAAAAAGCTGTGTGCATGCTTCCCTGATAAGTTCCCAATAAAGAAAGCTCAACTTTGTGCAATGAGAAAAATCAATCTGTAAGAAAGTGAAACATCTGGAATAGGCACAAGAGGATCCTCAAAGTAGGCAGGCATGATGCTGCTGGTTGACTCCATGTTGTGTGGGTCGTCTGACGCACCCATTGGTTCAAATGCCGAGTCACTGTGGGATCTGTGCACCCCACTGGACAGTCTGAGCTATTTTCAATGTTCCTCACATGCAACATATTCTGTTTAAAGGTGAGGCTAATCTTTTATGCGCTGAACAACCACCAGCACAAAGCACTTTCTATTTGAGTCCAGCTGTGACCGGGCTGTCACATTAAGCCTGACTTCATAATCTCTTAACTGTGTGTGTGGGTGTGTGTGTGTGTTTTAAGCACCAGACCCCATTTCTTTACCTTTACCTCCTGTGTTGGGTAAAAATCAGTCACCCTTTGAGGAGCCCTGCCCAAACTACATTTTTCATCTGTCACCTCAGTAATGGCAACCTTACTGGCTCAAACTGGTTTATGTAACTTTTGAGTCACTGAGCGTCAAAGCGGAGGAGAGTCGTGGAGATCAATTTTTTTTTTTTTTTGTCGTCTTTGCACACAGTCATTGTGCCGTCAGACCACCTGGCTCTGCTGTCGTCTCAGTCGTTAGCACGGTAGTTTTATTCAGGCCTTAAATCGTTAACCTTTCCAAAACATTTTGTGTAAAAATTTCAATTTTAGAAGTAAATTTCTTGTCATGTTTTGCTCCATCCACCTTTCTTGGAGAAAAAAATAATAATCTAAAAACGTTGTCTCCCTCTGTTGTGCCTGCTTCTGCTCTCATCCTGTGCACCGACACCTCTTGTGCTTTTAGCTGCTGCTGCTGTAGTTGCCCCTGTTGATTGACGTGTTGCTGCTCTTGTTGTTGTTGTGTTTCTGCTTACAGACAGTCTCGTTTGATCTGCACCAGAGGCTAACAGATACAGATGGCACCCCGAGCGCAGTAAGTAAGCCAAACATTGAATGAATACATCCTGCGCCGCACGCAGCCTCCGGTCCAGCATCGCTTACTGCCGCCTGTAGGGCGCTGAACTAACGGCGATCTCAGCGAGTGCATCATGGATGGGTTCTCCTTTATTTCCCTGGAAACATATGTGGTCTGAAATTGTTTTCTTGGCTTTAGTAATTTATAAGAACCAAGTAAGAAAGTCTCTCATCTTCTTAAAGCGATGTTTAAAAACCATAAAGAGGTCCTCTTCTTCTACTATATGCCAGTGTCACATAATATTACAGAATAATGCATTAGAGTTTGAGGTTCTAATGCAAAAATATGTGGAAAAAGTTTGAGTTATAAATACTGTTGTGACTACAAGTTTAAAATGTATTGTTTTCAGTTGATTTGCTTACTAAAAAAAACAATTAAAAATAGGAGAAAAGCAGGAACAGCTTGGATGCATCTGACATCCGAGTGGAGCAAACGCTGAAGGAGATTTGTCGCATATTTTAAATACTTGCAAATGATCTGCTTATCTTTATAAGACAAGCTCGGTGATCTTGCAAACTCTGGTTAAAAAAGCACTTTTTGCAGAGCAACAGATGAATCATTGAGACACTTTTCTCAGTGAGTCAGGATAATTACATTCTTAGAGGATCCACCAATAAAACCCAAGGGAGACAAATGTGAAGCTTTGTTCATTTTGATGTTGTCTTAGAAATGTCAAACAGGAAACAGAGACGTTCACAAGCTGGGCATCGGGTTCACCGATTTAAAAACGTTTGTTCGTTTTGTCGGCCAGCACCTTTAACGTCCGTCATTACCAACAACCGCTGTTTTCGGCTCTGACTGTTTGGAGTGCAATAATCAGTCATGCAGGCCTGTAATCTATAATCATCTTTATTAAACTGGGAGAAGATAATCACTGTTTTGTTGCATCATTACACAAACTAACAGCAAAGTGCTGTGGCTGCACCAGACAGAGTGAAATTAGAGCAGGTTGAAACAAACCAATCCCTCCTTTTCATTTTAGAAATTAATCATAGTGGTTACATACAAACTGAATTATGTTTCATTGAAGAAAGCTCTAAAAATAACAATGATTCGTGGTAATGACTTTTTTTTTTTTTTTTTTTTTAATTAAGCCACAACCTGTTTCTGGCTTTTTAACCAGGTGATTAAAAAAGCCAGATTAATTTCAATGTTAAATATGTTCAAATGTTGATGTACTTAAATGCAAAATGTCACTTACTGCAGAGTCTCAGCATGATTTATGTGATCCTTCCAGAGACACTGTGATAATTTTAGTTTTTAGTTTGAACTTATCTTCAACACAGTAACTTTGTTTAGTGTGTGCACATGAAGGCAAGCAAACAGTGGAGATTTGTTGCATATGTCTCATAAAGTGCTCTGATTTTCCTTGAATAACTAATAATTGTTTCATTTGTATTCAAAATAATGCAGTGTAAAAGAAAAGAATAAATAGCATTTGCTTAAACGGCTATAAAATTCCTGACTGCTTTAACCAACATTGGTTTTCCATTTGATAATTTCCCTGCAGAAGTGTGTGTACGTTTGTTTTTGTGCATCATAATTTTCACAACAAACAATGCATGCCCTCAAGTACAAACTGACAGGGTAATGCAATTTATTGCACACTTTTTACACATAAAGAATTTTTGATTTCACACTGGATTCACAACACTGACTGCATTGAACGGTTTTGGTTCATATTATTTTTTTCTGTACCAACTAATTAATATATTTGTGGTCAAACGGTGTTATCACAGAAAGAGACATTTTTCTGTGTGTTTCAGGAAGACGTCTTCATGTTGTTGCTAACGATTTGTTGACATTTAACACATTGTTAACCAGTATAGATGTTTTTGAAACATATTTGTCAAGAATTATTTTGAAGTTATTGAGATGAGAGTTTTATGCAGGAGAATTTCACTGTCAAACACAGAACACTTCATGCTTCCTTCTGGCTTCATTGCGATGCTAATTTCATTTTCTCCAGGTATTATTTTGTCAGTACAGATGCACAAATAGATTTATACCAAATGACAAATCTTTGCTGTACAGATCGGACTTTCTTCTATCCCTTTAGCTGCTCCTTTCTTATTCTGTTGACATTTTTTGCTCCTGTTGGCATTTCTTGAATTTGTTTAGCATTACTTTAAAGTCGTCTTGGTCTCCATGGATTTGGTTTGTATCTGTTTGTGTTTCTGCAAGGAGTTTCCCATTTCCTGATGGTTTTATTTAGTTTCTTTCCATAGTTTGTTCAAGGCTTGAGGCTAGCGTTGTGCTTACTGTGTCTGTGTTGACCTGGAGTTGACATACTAGCATATTTTTCCCCAAATGCATCTTTTTCATTTGTTCCCAGTTTAAAGACCAGTTTTCATAGCACTCTTACCTACTATACTCTGAAAAAAAATTTTTTTACATGCACAAAACTCATTATTGAATTCATGATGCACTTTATGTGATTCTTGTTTAATTATATTCACTGTTCTGGAAATGATTAACAGAGGAAATGTGGTTCATTGGAAAAAGCAGAGGAAAAAAAAAACTTAAGATAAAGAAGTCAGGTAAAAACATTGATAACAAAAATATCTGTCCTCTTAAACCTCAAAATATAGAACCTGTTAAAGCCTAAAGCCAAGCACAGCCAGGATCTTGTTTTGTAAAATTAGATCCACTATCCTCGAGCCTGACTGCAGCACAAGGATGAACTTATTTGCACTTGCCACGAATAAGATTATTATATAAGCTAGACGTATATCTGAAGAGCATTTGGTCTGGATGTTTTACACATTCTCATTTCACATTCAATCTTAATAAAAAACTTTTTTTTTTTTTTTTGTATTTTTCTTAACGGTCCAAAATGTTTTAGTTGTATATTTTTCTTTATTCTCTTCGAACACGTTTGCCTCTGGCCCCAGATCTTCTATCTGCAGGAGGCCATTGTGATAATCACATATTGCGCTTTTGCCCGCAGCAGTCGAGCCACTTATAGCTTCCCATTAGCCGCCGGGAAGCTGTGAGAGGTGGACTAAATTGCCTTGTTGTCATGGCCACAGACACAAAAACACTGTTTTTGTTATTTGGCATATTTCCCCCCTCCATTATTACAGAGTGATTGTGGAGAGGGACATATGAGTAAAATGTGGGGAGAATAGCAGAATGAAAGCCCCACTGGCCAGGATTCAAAGCAGGGATCCAACTGCTGATATATGCACCGAAACTTTTGGCCTCCTAAAGACCGCTGATGGAGGCTGATGGAGCTGGTGTAGGTTGTCGTTTATACCATGCCATGAGGATAGTCTTCTCAGGGTTTTCTGAGAACATTGAAATCACATTTATGGCGCAGGTAGCCCATTTTTAGTGTATAGTTAGAGGGGAAACAAAGTACACCCCTGTTTATTTATTAAGTTCAGCTTTTCAGGACATAAGAACATTGATTTGTTCCTAATAAAAGCCCAAATCAACATGCTGTCCATTACACGTGATGTAACGCGAGTTACTCGACTTTTCTGAGCATGTGCAAAACTTCAGTGATAAAGTGATGACTCATTATCCTGTAGGCTGCATATGTGGGTCCTTGGAGCAGCTGGTACGCCTGTGTCCCTCAGTGCAGATCAATCCCTGTGTGTAGATCATAGTCCACGGCATCATAGAGCTCCCACTTGTACAGTAGTGCACACACCTCCAAACTGAATGCAGTGGCTGAACTAAAAGTTTTATTTTTCAGGTTACAATCTAGATGTATTCCCACAGTCAAAGATGACTTCTGGGTTTTGACTTAGTTTATCTGATTACAGGGATCAGTGAGAAACATTGGGTTTGTGATTCTAATCATCCATTTTTCCATTTTTAAGTGATCCAGCTTCATTCAAATGGCTGCGGAGGTTGCGGAGATTAACAGGTCTTAATCTGGTGTGAAACTGTTCTTAAGTCACATCTACCCACTTTAGTTGTGACTTTCAGTTGACTTTAATGCTTGATTGCTCATTTTTCACTAAATCAGTGACCATGTTTTGCTTGTCCCTCTGGGAATTTGTCACACCAAACCTGAAACAATCTTTATGCATTAACCTTATTCTTAAAAGAAGCACTTAGAGAACCATTTTACTTCAGTGACCAAGGTTAAATCATATTGCTTAAAGATCAGCTTTATCTTCTGAAATGGTGATCTCTAATTTTTTTCTGTGTGAAAAGAATCAGAATTGTTAAATTGTTTTTAAAAATTGGCTTTATCAGAAAAAAAAATTAAATGATCAATGTTGTGGCTCTTTTTGTCTTGTTTCCTCTGCTTTACTGTTAATTACACAATATTTTTAGATATGATCCCCCATAAAGAAAGACTTTCGTACAAACCGACGAACAAAGAGCTGAAATAAGAGTCAGACACGGGCAGACAACCTGACATGCCTCCCATTTGATTCTCCCCGGTACAATCAAAATGAGTTATAGATTCTTCATGCTGAGACAGAGGCCTCTAAATAGAGACTCGACAAGTAGCTGTGTCTTAGGTGCAAAATCAGATGCCTTCATTTATGTTGGACCTCATCTCCTGTATGGCTGAAGATGGGTCTGAATTTTTTATTTATCATTCTTTTTTTTGTACATGTTTATTTACGTGGCTACTGCAAACACAGAGGCACTCGAGGCTTTGGTGGACAGCTCTGAAACTGTAGCTTAGAAGCAAAAACAGGAAAAATTGAACCACTGATTAGAAATGATGTTGAGAAGTACTTATTGTTCTTTTTGACATCCGAGTTGATCTCTGCATCTTCCATAATTAAGATTGACTTCTTACCTGCTTCTTTCATTAAAGCTGTCTTTACCTGTCCTCTGAATTGAGCCAAAATCTTTTTTTCAGAAAATAAAATTAAATTGCGTCATTAAATGTTCAAAGTTTAGAAAATTACTCATTCCCATAAGCCTTGTAACATCCTCTTGCTCATTTCAGAACAACCAAAATATTTGCAAGAAATCTTTAAGTAATGTTAACAAAGACTTTTAAAACTAATATGACTAGATGTGTTTGTTTTCTTTTTATTTTCTTTTATTTTAATGATCTTTTTTTGTCATTTTTTTATTTGCTACATTTATTTTAAATGTTGCCCTTATAGTTCAGGTTTAACGGTTGTGACCGGTCTGCAAGATATTATTTGCTTTCCAAATTTTGCATACAAATTTATTAAATCCAGCCTTCAGAAATAACCTGTACTTTTGCATCAGCAGCAAAATGCCTCATCAACCAAATGAATTATGCCTCTACCTTTGAGCTCCTCTTTTTAGAGAAGACAAGCTTTCCTGATTAAAGGCAAACATTGCTTGCAGGCAGGTGCATCTGTTTGATTAACAAACTGTGGGCGGATTGTGGAGCCAGGTAGCAATGGATGTGTTTATTTCTCCTA